ACAGAAGCAGGACAGAAGGCTCTGGATTAATGAGTCCCTAAATAAAATTCTCTTGTCTACAACCTGAAACTGCTCTGGAATCCAGTCACTCGGGAGCAAACTGATGGCATTTTATCAGAAATTAACTGCTGAAGAAAGTAATGAAAACGATTTTCCTTCTTCATATTCTTCTAGTGCAAATCAGGAGCACAGTCTCGACGTCAGTAATCTCCACTAAGCCATCGAGAGGCTGAATCACAACCTAGAGTATTCTGTCAGCCCTGTGTCTCCCAGAAGAAACAGATGAGCAGATTGTCTTAGCTGTAGCCCCATGACTTCTACGAATACTTCTGTGATGCTAATTTGCAAACCCCACCTCCAGGTCTGTAGCTAGCAATTAATTACCATTTCCATAAAATATGCACAACAAGGAAATGAATGTCAAGAATGAAAGCAGACTTTTTTGGAAGTTACATTCACCAACAGAAGTTCATGAATGTTTTCTCTCCGAACATCGTGAGTGATCTTCTGAGAGTTTAGGTTTCTTTGATCAGCAATTACTAAAGCTCGGAAGGTAAGTGGTGATGAAGAACATCTGGCAATAATCTAGCCAGAAAGCTTAAATAGAAAATAGGCATAGTCAGTTTAGAACATTCTCTATAGAGAGTCTAGCGAGATCTTTGAAAACTCTGGATGGAGCGCCCATAATTCCTAATCTCAAGTGATTTCTGATAAATGCACTTATCACATGACTTGAAGGTTCAATTTCCAAGTTTTAAAAAGTTTGAGAAATGCAAGAAATTTAATGATTTAATGACAGGGAAGCAGTTTGAACTAATGTGTAAAAATCACAAAAGAGTGAAATCTGACTGAAAGTCAAGATAGGAGGTAAACAGACTGTTGGAGGGCTATGGCTGACGTGGCAAGGGTGTGGTGTGGTGGCACATCTGGAGAGGTGTGCACCTATACCTCTGAATCATATACAGTCTTGTAAGTCAATGTTACCTCCATTAAAAACAAAAATGAGGGCCTTCCTGGTGGCGCAAACAGTTAAGACGCACCCTATAAGCTCGCCTCAGTCACTGCAGCACGAGTTTGATCCCCAGCCAGGGAGCTGACCCACATGGTGCAGCAGACCTCTCTTGTCTCCCTGCTGCTCCCCTCAGTAGTGCATTTCAGTAGATCCACCTGTACTGTTCCCCACACTGTCTCTGGTGAATCCTCTCACCCCCCACAACTCTGGCCTGTACCCCAGTTCTTGTATGCATAAATAAATAAATCTTTAAAAACTGAAAAGAAAGGACATCCATGTGTTGAAAATGAGTAGCTTGGTTAGGAACAGAATGTAGGGCAAACCCCAGGATGTGGGGGGAGCAGCAAGCACAGATGACATTCAAATCATGCTAATAACATCTCCTTCCCCTGTTCAGGCTGACTTTGTGCCCTCCTAGGTAGATCAATGCTGTGTGCCCACATCATCCCTGCTCGCTGCCTTGCACCAGCCCAGAGGGAGAGGCACTTTTCCTCATTTGTCTGCTCAGAGGAGGCACCATCTGCAATTTATCTATTGGACTGGGCTGCACTTTGTGGTCCAGAGACCCGGTGAGTGAGAACTCAATTGTTCACACACTGGGTATTGCCATTGACTTCTAGCTCATATCTTCTGCCCCAACTTCCTCTTTTTCATTCTACACTCAACTATTCAACATACATATCCTCGAACACCATTTCTCCATCTTTGGTCAAGGGTAGTGTCTTTCATTCTCTTATAGGAGATCCAGAATTTCCGTGATCACTCAGCTGAGGCTACCTCCTCCTATTAACTCACAACTCAGCACTAGCCTAGTCATTTGATTGCAGCCATCCACACACAACTTCCTGCTCTCTCAGCTATGTTTTATTCGTAGAGATCGCTGCCGTTTTCTGTTTTGTCTCTCCCCTCAGCTCTGCTCATTAAGATTTCCTTGGGAATTTGGTTCAGTTGAGTGGCCTCATTGATGGGCAAATATTAGACAGGGAAACCAGTGACTGTACTTCTCAGCAATGATAGACAGAAGCTTGTTCAAAGGTCTCCTCCATAAACTTTCTAAGAGAGTTGATATCATTTCTTTTGACCACTTTCTTCTTATAAGCAACAAGCTCTGTTGAAACCATAATAGTCTAAACATCATATCGTTAACATTAAGAGACTTCACAAACTCTTTTGGTGGGAACTAAAATACTTTTCTCATAACTAATGAAAACCCAGAGGTCCTTAAGGGGCTTGAGTAATTTTAGTCATTCTCAGTATATACGCATTTCCCCCGGCCCCTCGCCCTGGTGGTCGAGACAAGATTCACATTCAGAAAGTCAGTCTAGAACGATTTCGTACTATTTCCCAGGTCCTGAGTAAAAGATGGGTGACAAGTCTTTCTCTTCATTCAACAAAGAAAGTCGATAGTACATTCAGGTCCTACTCTGCTTCTGCCACTTTCTCTCTTGGTTCAAAATCTGTCAAGGCCTAGATAGACGACAGATAAGTTGACATTGTATCTTCTCTAGGTCACCCCTCCCTACCTGGTACTTGTCTGAAGACTAGATAGGGGAGATCCGTGTGTGTGTGTGTGTGTGTGTGTGTGTGTGTGTAAAATGAGGTCCAGACAGTCTCTCTTTGGGAGCCTGTAAAAAATGTTGATGGGTGCTAACAAAAGAATGCTTGGCAGTTTATCAAATATTTGTCACAATCACCTTACCCTTGGCAGCTGAAATAAATTTAATCTCTCCACATCTTATTCCTGTCTCTCTCCTCTAATCCCTACATTGATTTTTGCCCAAACTGCCTCAAGACTTGAAATAATCAAATCCCATCAGAAAGAAACACAAATGATCTATTTTCAATTGCACCTGATTTCATATTCAGTCTTCACTTATAATTATTTTTTAAAAGAACTAAGCTAAAATGTACAATCAACTGCTGTCATCTTCTGTCAATTATAACTTTTCTCCCAATGGATTCAGTTGATGTTCCTTCAGCCTCCGCTGTTACATTCAGCTATCTTCATTTTCTGCATTATTTATAGCTTATATTCAAAGGGGGGAAAAAAAGAGTTTTGTTTTAAGCAAAAATGTAATCCTCTTTGGGTAAATGAAAGACAGTTTTATTAATTAGTAAGAGTTAAATAACTATACTCTAAAAAGTCTCTTCCTCTACCTACTCTATTATTTAAGAGGCTTATAATTGCTTTTTCAACATATAATGGACAAGATCTTACTTCACATGTATTTGAAGACGGCTCTTTGTGACATATTTTTCTGAGGAGAACTTTTTCTAGCCTCAGTCTCTGAGAAAAGGTGAGGAACTATTTTCACTTCTTCTTTTCCTGGCCAGGTTTCAAAAAACACTTCTGTAATGCAAGTAATTTTTTTTTTTAGGTAAAAAATGTTTCCTATATCTGTCTGAAGGAATGGAAGAGACATTTAAAATGAAGAATGTATGTTAATTTTGCTCCCCTAAATATTCCGTCAACCCTCTTTCGCATCGAGTTCTAAGAACAATAAAGGCCTCACCCACAGTTCGCCTGTCAGTAAGAGAACAAAGAAGGTTTGATGTGGTCCACGGTGATGGTGTGTGAAAGCTGCTCTCCTCCGGCAAATGTCTTCCTCAGCCCACAAAGCTACTGTGCAGCAGCCATGGTGGCCGCGGGAATTACAACACCTTTTCTTCCTCCTTTCCAGGGCGGGAAGAACCAACCCTCTATAACATAAGTGGCGTCTGTGAAGGGACAGGCAGGTGCTAGGATGCCTTGTTCTCCAGAGCCCACAGAAGGCAGAGACACGTCAACCGACTGGAAGCAAATGAAAACAAGATGCACGGCTGGGGGGAGTGTGCAGTGGGGTGGTGTGCAGGGGGGCAGTGTGCAGAGGGGCGGTGTGCAGGGCAGCGGTGTGCAGGGGGGCGGTGTGCAGAGGGGCAGTGTGCAGGGCGGCGGTGTGCAGGGGGGCGGTGTGCAGGGGGGTGGTGTGCAGGAGCAGGATAAAGTGAAACTTAAAGGCAAATTCTTTTTAAGGGAAGGCCCTGAGGTGGGATTGCAAGGGGCCGAGATGGTCTCCCAGGCTTCCCTGTCCTCACACTTCAGCAAGTGACAAGTCACATTTGCTCCCCTCGCACAGGTTTGGGGGGCCTGTTGCTGACAACATTTTGGACTTCCCTGTGACACAGGAGAGGGGCCTTGGCAGAGTCTGTGCGGGGACCAGGCTCTGAAGGCAGATTTCACTTCAGGGCTGTCTCTGCTCGCACGTCTGAAAACAACTCAGCGCAACAAAGCTCAGACTGGTCAATCTAGCACTCACGTGACCACTAACCGCCTCCCCTCAACAGGCATGCACAGGTGCCCACGCGCGCCATCTTGGTGCTGCTGGGACACAGGATACAAGGCGCGCTCACACCTTGGAGAATTCTTAGACCATCGAGAAGCTCAGCCTCGCACAGCACAACTTCATAGTCTGTTGATACTGTGCATTATAGGACTCGCTTCGTTTTTTGTTTTTAATTTCAAGAATGTGGCTGATCAAAGAAGGGGAAAGTCATTATTATTGTTCCTGTGATGGATGCATTAGCAAGCGTAAGCAATACCAACCTCCAATAGCTGACACCTTCCTAAAGCAGGCCTTTGGAAATAGTTTGAGGGGCCTCCCTGGTGGCGCAAGGGGTAAAGACTCAGCACTATGAAGCTATCCACAGCCACTGCAGCGCGAGTTCCATCCCCGACCAGGGAACTACCCACATGTCTCCCTGCTGCTCCCCTCAGCAGTGTATTTCAGTAGATCTGCCTGTTCTGCTCCCCACTCTGTCTCTGGTGAATCCTCTCACCACCCCCCCCCCGGCCGCACCTCTGGCCTACACCCCAGCTCTTGTATGCATAAATAAATAAATAAATCTTAAAAAAAATATTTTGAACAATGGAATTATGAAAAAGACAAATCAATCCACACTGGCTGGCTCTTTCCATTATTGGCACTTGGAGACAGCGTGGCCTACTCACCCTGGGTGACCGTCAGCCTCATCACAAAGGTTTCGTTTTCTCCTGTGCTGGCCCTGAAAAGGCAGCGGTAGAGCCCCGAGTCGGTGGCGGTGACGAGGGGCAGCCCGATGGAGGTCCCCACTTCCTCACTGCAGTTGCTCTCAATCTGCCTTCTGTACTTCAGACCGTAACTTCTCCCCTGAGACAAGCTGCAGTTAGTTAAGAGGTCGATCTGATGGGGCTGGATCTTTTCCCACCTCACTTCTTGAACTGGCCACTTGGTTTGGAGGGGACAGGTGAGCGTGATATTTTCTCCAGTTTTGGAGACCACGTGGTTACTTGGTGATACAGCTATGTCAAAACTATCTGCAAAGAAGAAGCAAATTGCATTTAGTACGTCAAATATGAGTATGCAAAGGTGGAAGCTGCCAAGAGAATTCTATCAAAATAAATGATCTTCTTGAGCAGTTTCGACGCTTAGAAATGACATCTTCATCCATTTTTGTAAAAGAAAAACTTTCGAAAGAGGTTGATACAGAGAGAGGGAGAAAGATATGATTGTTTCACACCTATTCCCTCAAGTTTCACTTGGCAACTGATGTAACAAGAACATCATCAAAACCCCAAAGCCACTGGTGCTTTTCTCAGTAGTGATGGCATCCAGAAGCTGAATTTGTGGACCATATTGTTGTAGGACTGGGTGGTGACTCAGACTCTGGCCTTAAGTATTAAATTTCCAGACTGTGATCACATTGACTAAGATTTTAATGGTCATAGATCTATGTCAAATCTTTCTTCTTGAACAATACATAAACTTATTTTGCAGATACACATGTTGTCTTATGCATGTGGTATGAATTCCTGGGTACCAACAAAGTCCCTCAATATCTCCCCACCTTTCTACCTTCTTAGCTGGAATTCCCAGCACAGAATACTCAGAAAGTGATTACCAAGTATCTAAACCAGTAGATTACTTGATTATTAAAATGGGCTAAAGACCAACAGACATGTCGCTGAAGAACACATACATATGGTCAACAGAGAAATGAGGTGGAGCTCAACATCGCTGGTCGTCAAGGAAATGCAAAGCAGAACTAGAGGGAGGTGTCACCTGCATCTGTTAGGATGATTCTTTTTAAAAAACAAGTTGTTGGCAAGGTTATAGAGAAGTTGGAGGCTTTATCCACTGTTGATGGGAACAGAAAATGATGCAGCTTCTATGGAAAAACAGTATGGAGACTCCTCAAAAACAAAAATAAAAATGCCATTTGATCCAGGAACCCCACTTCTGGGTATTTACTAGCACTCCTGGTTCACTCCAGCACTAGTCACAGAAGCCAGGGTGAGTGGCTAAAGGAAACGTGGCATATTCATACAGTAGACACGACTCAGTCTTCCAGAAGAAGGAAATCCTGTAATGTGGAAGCACCTGAAGGACACTGTGCTGGGTGAGATAAGCCACAGAGGGACAGTACTGCACGCAGTACTGCAAGCAGTGAAACTCATGGAAGTAAAGAAGAGAATTTGGGGGTGGGGTGGAGGGAGTCTTGGGCAAGCCCTCACTAGATTTGACAGGCTTTTAATGCTGGAGCAAGACACCAGATACAGGCAGACCAGTAGGCAGGGAGGCTGGGAGGCTGGGAGGCTGGGAGGCAGGGAGGTAGAGAGGCAGGGAGGCTGGGAGGCTGGGAGGCAGGCAGCAGCGGAGCCTCCCAGCCCCGCCAACCCCCCGCTCTCTTTCTCTGGTTTCTCTCTGGCTTCTCTTCTCTCACTCTGCAACCTCCCATGATCTCTTGGCCTGCGTACCCCGTGTTCATGCTCCTAAGTGCTTTCTTGCAATCACACGACATCACGTGTGGGTAATGAAACCTGAGGGGAAAACAAAGCTGCAGGTGGCAGCCGCAGGGCTAGAACAGAGGCGGCAGGAGCCGGGGCCGCCCCCCTTCCCTTTCGGAGGGGAGGTGGGGACTTGCTCCTCCAGGGCTGTGAGCTTTCAGGGATGCAAAAGGATTCAATTCCAGAGACCCGCTCCACAACGCGGCGCCTCTGGGTAACCAGGGTGCTGGTGACTGAAAAAAAATCTCCTGAACGTGGAGACCTCGTGTGCAATGTTCTTCCTACACGCGCTCTTTGAAGAGCAGAAAGGGATCCGGAGAGCAGTTGAAGGAGGCCACGTAGCAAATACACCTCAGAGATTATTTCAGGAAATGAAGACAGAGCCCAGTGTTAACGCAGCCCTCTCGGTCGTGGTGAGGATCACCTTTTTGAGGAAATAGCTTCACCACTGCCAGGGCGAAATTCTGATCTGTTCCAGGGAGAAAGGGCCGTGAGGGTGTCAGCGCGGGTGCCAGGCGGGGGAGCAGCCGTGGAAAGGGTCTCTCGTGGCCTCGTCCACGTCACCCGTCCACCCAGGAGCCACTTTGTTGGTTTCCAGTTCAAAAGAACAGAAGAGCAGAGGGCGGGGTGGGGGGGAAGCAGCCCCACTCGAAAGAGAGAAATTCAGTCTAAAAAACAGTCCAAGGTGCCCCCTTCGAGGAGAGGAAGCTCGCGTGTCTGTGGCAGCTCAGCTCCCTGGAAACCAGCGCTGGTCCTCAGGGTGAGGCTCCAGGCAGCAAAATGTTGTTGGAAAGAGAAAACCACGGCCCTCCACTCTCGGGGCGAGCTGCCCACAGTTCCCCAAGGTGACACCTCACCCACGCAGCAGCCTCCCAGGAAGCACTTCACGGCCAGCCCTGAGCCCACACTCCAGCAGCCGGGGAGGGGGGGCGGGAGTGGGAAATTCACAACCAGGCAGAAGTGCAAGACTCCAAACGGAAAGGGAAGAGATGAGAAAGTAAAGGGAGAGGGAGGTAGGAGACAAGAAAAGGAAACAGGGGCGATGCACGTCGGGGCTACCTCAGACACGGGCGCTCTGTTGCAAGAACGAAAGAACATAGAGGAAATGAAAGTAAGAACGAGATTTTCTCGTGAGCCACGCTGAGCGCGCAGGATGCGGCACGTGGCAGGTGCTGAGCTGCTGCTTCTGAGCTGACACACCTGTTTTTGTTCTGTTTCATCTTGTTTTCCTCTGTGGAGGTCACCCTCCTCCAATCTCAGAAAGCTGCTTTATCTGCGCATCTAAGCCGCCTGCAGCCAGGAAGCAACCCCAGTTTCTGTGGATTTGGCTGGGCGCTGTCTAGGGAGTGTCTACATTTTCACAAAGGGCACAGCCATGAAGCCAGGGAGATAGTCTCGGGGGATGAACCCCAGAGTCTCGTGAGGCTGTCGTGGGGGAGCAGGGCGCAGCTGAGGCTGGGCTGACCACAAATACCAGGTGAGGCCCCAGACCCGTGTGAGCAGACACAGCTGGAGCAGACAGCAGGCCTGTCCCAGGGGCAGGGGTCTGGGAAGCAGAGTCCCCCCATTCACCTTTGCTGAGAAACAGAGAAGTTCTCTGGAGTCAGACAACACTCAAAACCTAGACAGGCCTGCAGAACCTGCCTCCCCTGGCAGGTAGCTTATGGCTGCAGAGGTCACCGATCCCCCTGTACCATCATTTCCAGGGGAAATGAGCCTGCAGACAGTGACCAGGAAGTCATTCCCAAAATACTGAGCTGCCCACACACACCAGCACTCAGCATCCTGACCTGCTGGGAGTGGAAAGTGAATCCACTTCAAACAGGGGCGAAAATGCCAAATGCCATGGTTAATGGGGGGTGGGGAGGGGACGTAATTAGAATTTAATCCTGAGAATAGAAACTAATGATTTTTAAAAAAACTTCATTTTAACTAAATGTAGGGTAAAGAAAATGTCAGGCTTTTCTGCCCTTCTGCCATCAGGATAGATGATGGATCCTTGTCCTGAATGCATGCCTGATGGCGGGCACCTGGAATAGGGTGTGGGCATAGGTAGGTGGGATTCAGCTGAGCTAAGACTGTGTTTTTAAGGGCGACATCACGGGGGGACGCCAGCAGCAGCAGCACCAGTAGCAGCAGTAGAAGCAGCAGCAGAAGCCAAGAGAGAAGCCAAGAAGCAGAGAACGCCAGTGAGCCCAGATAGAGTGAAGACTTGCTGGGGGCTGGGAGGCATGCCAGCCTCCCAGCCCCCCAGCCAGCACCCCTGCCTGCCATATGCCTGGTGAACCCCAAATAAAAAACCTGCAAAACTACTGAGGACTCTGACTCCTCCTTTACCCGGTCTGCATGGGATCAGAAAACCTGCACCGCGTCCAGTCCTGCCCTTACACTAAATTACCATCTCACACCTTACACAAAAATGAACTCAAAATAGATTACATGGATGTAAGACCCCAAACCACCCACCAGGTTGGCTTCAGGAATGTCTTTGTAGATTCATCTCCAACAGCAAGAGGAACCAACGAGAATATAAACAACTGGGACGACATCAAAGTAAGAGGCTTCTGCACTGAAAGAAACTATCAGTGAAACAAAAAGATTTCCTACTGAATGGGAGAAAACATTTGCAGATCATGCCTCTGACAAAGGGCTGATGTCCAAAATATATAAAGAACGCATGCAAGTCAACAAAAATATCCCAACCAAAAACAGACAGCACCACCCTGGTGGTCTAGGAGTTAAGTCTCAGAGATATCACCCCTACGGCCTGAGTTCCATCTCTGGCCAGGGAGCTACCCACATGGCGCAGCAGACCTCTCCTGACTCGCCCGCTGCTCCCCTCAGCAATGTATTTCAGTCAGTCTGCCTGTTCTGCTCCCCACTCTGTCTCTGGTGAATCCTCTCGCCCCCTCCCCACCTCTAGCCTAGACCCAAGTTCTACTAAGAAATAAATAACATGTTAAAATAATGGAGAAAAAGAAAAATACATTTCTCAAGACATACAGATGCCAACAGGCACATGGAAAAAATGTCCAACATCACTTATCGTCGTCAGGGAAATGCAAATCAAAACTATAAAGAGACAGCACCTCACGCCTGTGAGAAGGACCAAAGTGAGGAAGAGCAGAAGCAAGTGCTGTCGAGGGAGGGTGTGGGCAAAAGGAGCCACGGCTGGCGGGATGCACACTGCTGCGTGGAAATGGGTCTACAGTCCCATCGGCAACTCCACTCCCAAATATCTACCTGAAGAAGGCGAAAGCTCTGGTTGGAAGGGAGCGCTGCACCTGTGTTCACTGCAGCACTGATTGCAATAGTTAATTTATGGAAACAACCTAAGTGCCCAAGAACACAGGAGTGAACAGAAAAATGTGCTACATGCACACACACACATGCCCACACGCACGCACGCACGTGCACACACACTCTGGAATACTACTCAGCTACTTGCCGCTTGTGACAACATGCATGGAACTGAGGAGATAATAGTCAGCGAAATCGATCACCTGTTGAACAGAGAGAGAGAAACATTA